TCATTATTTTACTATTTTCACTGCCATATTTTACACACAGCCATTGTTTTTGTGTTTGGCCTCATTATACACTTAGAAAGCAGTCGGTGAACAACGCCAGCGTAAACTCATTTAGCTGTGATTTTGTTGAAAATAACGGTTAGCTTGAAATTCCTATGTATGTTTGGATCATTTTCCAATGAATTTAAGACAAACTGAGCCATAAAGTCGGAAGTATTTGTAAAAAATAGTTTGGCTCCTTAAAAAAAAAAAATAAAATCAATGAAACAAAAAGATGGCAAAACCCGATTTAGCTTAGGATGCGTACTCGTTTATAGCACCGTGTGGTATCATAGATGCAAATGTGATCACTGAAGAATGTTTTTAAAGGCGAGTCAAAACAAGAGACGCACATGGTCTGAATTCAGTTATTCCTCTTTGCAGCTCTTCACACGATCCATTGAAAAGATGTGGCCCAGTCTGGCTCGGAAATTTCATGAAAGTTTCCTACAGAAGTAGAGATGTTCAGAATCGTTCGCTTTGGTGGTGCACGGAAGGGCGTTAACTTTGCTGTCTCCTTGGAGGGAAAAAACAGTTATGAAAATATTTTCTTGTTTTGACAATCAAAATATTGTTTGTGTTGCGTAAATAATCACAAGTTCTAGAATGAAATGATTTATTCTCCATCAGATTATTTTTAATGCGTTATTATGGAAATCCTTCTTTTATTACTTTTATTCTCGTTCAAAGGGACTATTTTAAGAAAACACCAGTTGATTAATTGTAACTCACACAGATGCCCGACACTCATTTATCTATTTTAATTAGCAGCTCTCAGTTTCCGAGTGAAAACTGATCTGTTCGGTTTTTTCCTCTACACAAAGTCTGCGAAAATATGAATTGTATATCGGACAGTCGTCTACGTGCTTAACCGAGCGCCTGTTTAGGGAATGAGTAGTTTGTAAGGGTAGTTAATTTTACTTTGAGGGAAAGATTGATTACCTATCGAAACCTTGTGTCTAAAAATTGAAAGGTCTCTGTAAAATGGCAGTCACAAGGAAATTGTCTTGTAAATATATAACTACCTACGTATAACTGCGTACTTGACCAATCTAGGAAACAGTTATTCAGTTAAAACTGCGGATAGAATCAAACCTCAAAGCCTCTGATACATCTGCTTTAATTTTATATTTTTGTTTTTGGCTGAATGAACTGATGCTAGTAACTGCTTGGATTAATTGTGATGTCGATTTGCATTAAGGATAAAACCAGATGAATTATTGATGTGTCAAGATTATGTCCTAAAGGCTTAAGTCTCTTCATTTGATTTAATAAGCTGCAAGAATCCTTTTCACTGCAACCTTAGTTTTAAGAAGTCTGTACGAATCATTGATTTGTTTCTGATCAATATTTTTTCAAACTTATCGTAGGTAAAATTTAAACGCCGAACTCGGCTGTGTACTGTATCACTATTCTTTCGCGTGCTACTCGGCAAATAAAACCTAAAATATATATTCTTGAGATTTTGTCGCACACTCGAGCTTCAAAAGCCAACCAGGTCCAATATCTGTGTATAACATGACGCACGTCAAACTTAATAGCTAACCAGATCAAATTTAAAATTGCTCAATTTTAACACGGCCAAACCAATAATTGCGTTATTTGTACTTCGATGTGAATAAACTCTATAAATAGAATGGCCACCATCCACTAAAAAATACTCAAAAACATAGGGCCCATCTATTACCACTAAAAATCCCGGTTTTCAACTACCCCGTTCATTATGCCTTTGTAATACTTATGTTGCTCTGTAACTTTCTGGTTACGTAACAGTACCGAAATTTCGGTACTTTGTCAAAGCGAGAAAATCCTGTGTTCTTGTTAACTCGATGTGAATTTTTCCAGGAGTCCTAAAACTTAGAAACAGTCACTACATGCGAAAATTCCTTCCATTTTTGTGCCACTAGCACCAAACTGACTCAATTTTTTAAATTGATTTTAAAATATTTATTTTTTAAATTTCAGTTCGAGAAAAGTCGTCTACGAAATGTGATTGATTTTTAATTAATTTAATATTGAGTATTGTTCGAGCCAAAGTTTCTTTTACTGTCTTTGTTTTGTTTATAAATTATCCATTAAGACTTCTCAGCCTAGCGTGGTAGCTGCCAGATATACTTAAAGTCAAGTTTTCACGCGATGTACATATTTTCAAGTGACACGTTAGAAACCTTTTTTTAGGTAAATACACTACACAGGCGACAGGGCGGGACTAGTTCAAAGAAGTATTTATAAATAACGCTGACGATATAGAGGGAAACATTTTTCTAAGAACTTGAACGGATCCTGAAACTGATATTCTAGACGGAGATTCGAAGCTTCTTCAAGCAAAAGAGCTTAAAGGTACGTTTGTTTACAGGTTTTCAGCAATTTAGAGTAGCAAAGAACTTTTTTTTCCTCGCTTGCAATTCGTTGGAAATGAAAAAAGTCAGTTCAATTTAGCGATACGATTGCAAAGTGGACAATATATGAGAAAAGTCAAGTCGAGTCGTTTCAGCTCTGCGTGTTTGAGGCTCTCACAAAACAATTGTACAGCGCCATTAGATTGTATTTTCTATCACTAATGCTTTGCATTGAAACAAGGAGTAAGACACCGAAACATTTCTTTCACCTGCCGTCTTGACGGAAAAGAGATTGTAGGTTAAATGTTTTAAAAGATTTATCGAGTAAACAGCAAAATTGCTTCTCTGAACGGCGCGCATTCAACCGATACGACAGCGTTTCACCGGCTGTAATGACTAAGAGATTCATTTACCGAACTCTGCTGTACATTTGAGAGTTTTCCGAAACAAAAAGCTCTTCGAACTTCTTTTTTTAAGCTATTTCTCCAAGTCTGAGTAGTTCAAATGGCCGATAAAATCTCAATGAAGGGCATTTTATACCTGATGGGCGAATGCTATGAAAGCTCTGATAATTAAAATCCAAAGATGGTGATTTTTTTTATCAGAACAGTCACGTCCTTTTTGTCTTCAGAATAAGTCCTTCGTTTTTTCAACGCATTCGTCAATTGAGGAGCTTTAGAAAACTTGTTTTCCAAATTCAAATCCTCGTGAAGCTAAGAGCGAAGGAGGATCCATGTTTTAACGTCCAAGCGGAAAAAAACCCCAAAAATCCGACACGAATGAAACGAACATCGCTTCGTAATTTGTTGCTGAGCGATAATTGCTATTCCACAAGGAATAGCACTTTAGGCGACGTGTGTTACTTGGAATGATCCAACACTTTTTTGTTTCTTTTTATTATGCCACCATAAAAAAAAGTGGACACAAAAAAACGTGGGGCTTATAAAGTAAAGGCCTCCTTCCCTTAAGAGTAGTTACTAGTTGTAATTATTATAGCAATGCAGAATTTCTCCTCCCTGTATTACTGCGAAATTAAACTTGAAGGCCGTGAGAACAAGGGAAATGACCGTCAACTTGGAGCTCTTGATTATCAGGCAAATTCTCCTCGTTATAACCTTGAGGAATGTATAGAGAATAGTTTGGAGTAAGTACTGAGAATTTGCAGCTAGGCCAATTGAGTAATTATTTAAGTGAAAACTCTCGCATTTTCGACTTCAAGTTAAGAATATTTGACGAACGAGTGAACGACTGAACGACTGAACGACTGAGTTCCAAATTTAAGGACCTTGAGATTTGTTCGACACAAATGCGTTCAATAATTATCAGCTTCTTTAGTACCATACAGTGAGCTTTACGACTGCTAACAAACACCTCCACTTTACGCAGGAAATATCGAGCTGCTGTGAGCAAGGAACCTGAATTTACACAGCATTTGTACTCTGTAGGCCGCTAACAAATGTTTCAATTAATTTCAGAAAACTTAAGACAGCAGAATGGCAATTAAGAAGACATTGTGCTTCACCTTGGTTGTACTTGCCTTAACCTGTCCGGATGAGATCTCTGGAGGTATTTATCAATGCAGTTTAAATGACATTTCCTTGCATGAAAACTAACAACCTTTTCTAATACAAAATGTTAAATGCCAGGCGCATATTTCTAACGATTCGTTCCACTCTATCCTAAAAATCAAATTTATTCACATCACTTGTGCTTTACTTTTGATTGTTCCTCCTCAGATAATTTTATAAAAGCAAATGGATCTCCCGTGTGTTTTGGTGCAAGAGATACACAAGTGGGAAAGTTTGTAGTTCCTGTAGATGGCAAAATGGGAGGCGTAAGGCTGGTCCACCTGTACGGCTACGTGTCTTGTCACACGCCTGGTGACCCTGTGGCTGTGGTTATGAAGCGTACCAGGAGATCAACGCTGTCATAACCGATGACAAAAATCGAAATCTTTTGCTCCCTAAGGAGTTCCTGAGCTCTTACCACGCAGCAGGAAAATGGCACAAAATTCCAGCTTACAACTCCATGAGCCCTATCCTTGAGCTAAGTGTTTAAAGATCCCATTGATGTGAGTGCTGGCCAAGAGCTACGACTGTGGTACGTGACAACTGGGGAAGAACCTGCGCTGACGTTTTTATCCTGTACGTTTGAGATGTAGTATTCCAGTTTTAGAAGATTTGCTTAGAAGAAGAACCTGTAATAAGGTTACAAAAAAATAAACTGAGAGTTTTAAAGGGAAAGCTGTTCTGTTTCTTTGAAGTTTATAACACATGCACAGCTTTGTTACACTCTTCCTCCTCTCCAAAAACATATCTCGACACATTTGAAGTCCCTTGCCGCTTGTTTTCCTCAACGCCTCGAAGTGTCGTGATAACCTCACTAAGCAGAACAGCGTACACTTACTGTAAACCTTAAACGGTCAAATGAAACACACAAACTCCATAAAGGCCTACGAACGCCTCAAAGAAATGACAAAATAAACTAAGAGAACTACCAAAACAAATGGAAAAGAAAAAATGGGAAAGAAAAATGGACAAGAAAAAATGGAAAAGAAAAAATGGAAAAGAGAAAATGGAAAAGAAAAGAGGGCATAGAAAAAACAAGCTGTAAAATCTGCAT